TAGTAATGTAAATCTCTGATATGCAGAATGTATTTTCATACACTGGACAAAAATTGGTACAAATACCCAATACGCTCAAATTTGAATACTGGTGGGATTGGGGAGGGTATTGATTTTGTCCTGTGGGAGTTGTAGTTGGTGGAATTTATAGTTCTCCTACAATCCAAGAGCATTCTGAACTCCACCAACGATGGAATTGAATCAAACTTGGCACACAGAACTCCCATGACCAACAGAAAATACTGGAAGGGTTTGGTGGGCACTGACCTTGAGTTTTGGGAGTTGTAGTCCACCTACATCCAGAGAGCACCGTGGACTCAAACAATGATGGATCTGGACCAAACTTGGCACGAATTCTCCATATGCCCAAATGTAAATACTGGTGGTGTTTGGGGAAAATAGACCTTGACATTTGAGAGTTGTAGTTGCTGGGATTTATAGTTCACCTACAGTCAAAGAGCATTCTGAACCCTACCAACGATTTAATTGGGCCAAACTTCCCACATAGAACCTCCATAGCCAATAGAAAATACTGTGTTTTCTGGTGGTCTTTGGTGACCACTCTGACACCCCCTCGCGACCCCTCCAGGTTGAGAAACACTGGTATAAAACTTTGAATTGGGCTCGGAGATGGACCGGTAGCCAGTGGAGCTGGCATCGCACCTTGGTCTCCATACAGATGTCCTCAAACACTTTCTGCTTCATTTGGAAGAATGCTGCACTTGCAGAGCTCGGGCGGTGTTGTATTTCAGTGTCAATGTTGACTTTTGTGGAGCAGTGGCTGCCAAGGGAGCAGAAATGGTCAACATTCCTGTGGATGCAGCCTGGAGTTGCATTGGACTTTAACTGCTGCATCACACTCTTCACTCATGTTCGGCTTGTGATCTACCAAAACTCCTAGGTCAGTGGTTCTCAGATGTTTTGGCCTTCAACTCCCAGAAATCCCAACAGCTGGTAAACTGGCTGGGATTTCTGGGAGTGGTAGGCCAAAAACATCTGGGGACCCCAGGTTGAGAACCACTGTCCTAGGCAGCTTTCACACTGACATTGACAATCAAACATATCTGTTTTGTTTTGAAGGAAGGGAAGTATGAACACCCACCATCTGACCTTCTTCTTTGCCATGGAGGAAGTCGACCAGGACCCCCTGCTTTTCCCCAACACAACCCTGGGCTACAACATTTACGAGAACTATTTCCACGCCAGGGTCACCTACGACGCCATGCTGGACTTGCTCTCCCCTGGGCAGAGGAACATCCCCAACTACCGATGCGGGAGGCAGAAGGAACCGCTGGCCGTTCTGGAAGGGGCCAACTCCGAAATCTCTGCCCATATTTCAAATACTCTGAGCATCTACAAGATCCCACAGGTATGGAATTGGGAAAGGGGGTGGCGCTGCAGGTTACGTTCATATTGATTGAAAGCTCTCTTTTATCTATTGCGGGTACAACCTTTTTTTGGAATTGAATAGAAAGGGCTTTTCATAACACGTTTCAGTATATACAGTTGACTTTTGTATTGTGATGAATTTTGAAATAGTAATACGGTAATTATATTCAGTGTAATCTCCATATCCATGGGACTGGTTTTTGCAGTTTCATGTATTAATTTATTTATTATTGATTTATTTACAGCTTTTATATTCCGCCCTTCTCACCCCGCAGGGGACTCAGGGCGGATTACAGTGTACACATATATACTTACTTACTTAGGTGATCCCTCGTTGTGACGTCTATAGACAGTCCACGTCTCATAGGCATATAGGAGGGTTGGGAGGACAACAGCTCTATAAACAAGCACCTTAGTCTCCCTACGGATGGCCCTCCATCATGGGTTTCCTTGTGCGTCCGTATGTGGCTGTGGAGCCCTATTCTTGACCTGCACCTTCTTCCGCAGTGAGGGCATTGGTTTCCAGGTGGAAGGCGGTCCCGGTCGGAGTTGGCTTAATGCACCTTCCTCCTGGCACGTTTCTCTCTTTCACCCTCCACTCGTGCCTCCTCGAATTCTGCAGCACTGCTGGTCACAGCTGACCTCCAGCTGGAGCGCTCAAGGGCCAGGGCCTCCCAGTTCTCAGTGTCTATGCCAGAGATTTTAGGGTTGGCTTTGAGGCCATCTTTAAATCTCTTTTCCTGTCCACCAACGTTCCGTTTTCCGTTCTTAAGTTCAGAGTAGAGCAATTGCTTTGGGAGACGGTGGTCAGGCATCCGGACAACGTGGCCGGCCCAGCGGAGTTGATGTTGGAGGACCATCGCTTCAATGCTGGTGCTCTTTGCTTCTTCCAGCACACTGACGTTTGTCCGCTTGTCTTCCCAAGAGATTTGCAGGATTTTCCGGAGGCAGCACTGATGGAATCATTCCAGGAGTTGCATGTGACGTCTGTAGACAGTCCACGTCTCACAGGCATATAGCAGGTTGGGAGGACAACAGCTCTATAAACAAGCACCTTGGTCTCCCTACGGATGTCCCGGTCCTCAAACACTCCCTGCTTCATTCGGGAAAATGCTGCACTCGCAGAGCTCAGGCGGTGTTGTATTTCGGCGTCGATGTTGACTTTGGTGGAGAGGTGGCTGCCAAGGTAGCGGAAATGGTCCACATTTTCTAATGTTACACCATTAAGCTGTATCTCTGGCATTGGAGAGGGGTTGGCTGGTGACTGCTGGAACAGCACTTTGGTTTTTTCAATGTTCAGTGACAGGCCAAGCTTCTCGTATGCTTCTGCAAAGGTGTTTAGAGTGGTTTGTAGATCTTCTTCTGAATGCGCACAGACAACGTTGTCATCTGCATACTAGAGTTCTATAACAGATGTTGTTGTAACCTTGGTTTTGGCTTTTAATCTGCTGAGATTGAATAGCTTGCCATCTGTCCGATAGATGATTTCCACTCCGGTGGGAAGCTTCCCATCAACAAGATGAAGTATCATAGCGATGAAGATGGGGAATAAAGTGGGGGCAATAACACATCCCTGTTTGACACATATATGTGTTTGACACCAACCCTGGTTGGTTGGTGGCAAACACATAAATGGCAAACATTCAATGCCAATTTTGACATACAAACATATACAGACATACACAGAGGCTGTTTAACTTTTTCTGGCCGCCAGGAGAGCTGTCGCTTTCATCGTCCATCTGCGACGCTGATGAAGTACCTCCGCATTCCTCGCATGCTTCCCCGCTGGAGTGCTTCTTTATGGCCTCATAAATTAGTTAATTTAGCCTCCCCACACTTTAAGGTGGTACCTTATTTTCCTACTTGATAGATGCAACTGTCTTTCAGGTTGCAAAGGTTGACAACAGGCTACACAACCCACTCCAACCTGGGCTGGCTTCGAACTCATGACCTTTTGGTCAGAGTGATCTTAATGCAGCTGACACTCAGCCAGCTGCGCCACAATCCCGGTGCTATCACATCTGATAAAAATATTTCTCCTCTGAGCATTTTCTAGATCTTGTACCACAATTCAATTGTATTGTTCAGCCCTATTGATATCAATAGGCGTACGGCAGGGTCATATCCTCTCGCCCAACCTATTCAACTTGTATGCAGAACACATCATGCGATGTGCGGGGCTTGAGGAATGCAAAGCTGGGGGGCGGGGGGGGGGGGAATTGCTGGAAGAAACATTAACAACCTTAGATATGCAGATGACACCACTTTGATGGCTGAAAGGGAAGAGGAACTGAGGAGCCTCCTAATCAAGGTGAAAGAAGGAAGCGCAAAAGCTGGGTTGCAGCTAAAGATCAAAAGAACCAATATTATGGCAACAAAAATGATTGACAACTGGAAAATAGAGGGAGAAAATGTGGAGGCCGTGACAGACTTTGTATTACTAGGTGCAAAGATGACTTCAGACGCAGACTGCAGCCAGGAAATCAGGAGATGCTTACTTCTTGGGAGGAGAGCAATGTCCAGTCTCGATACAATAGTGAAGTGTAGAGACATCCACATAGTTAAAGCAATGGTATTCCCCGTAGTAACCTACGGATGTGAGAGCTGGACCTTAGAGAAGGCTGAGCGAAGGAAGAGAGATGCTTTTGAACTGTGGTGTTGGAGGAAAGTGCTGAGAGTGCTTTGGACAGCGAGAAGATCCAACCAGTCCATCCTCCAGGAAATAAAGCCCGACTGCTCACTGGAGGAAAGGAGATGAGAGGCAAAGCTGAAGTACTTTGGCCACATCATGAGAAGAAAGGAAAGCCTAGAGAAGGGAATGACGTTGGGGAAAATGGAAGGGAAAAGGAAGAGGGGCCGACCAAGGGCAAGATGGATGGATGGCATCCCTGGTTGGTTGGATGGATAGATAGATGGGTAAATGGATGGAAGGGAAAATGGAGGGATGGGTGGATTTATGTGTGGGTGGATGGATGGAGGTACAGATGGATGGATTTCTAAATGGATGGGTGGAGGGAAAAATGAATGGAAGATGGTTGGTTGGATAGATAGATAGATAGATAGATAGATAGATAGATAGGTAAATGGATGGGTGGATTTATATGGATGGATGGATGGATGGAGGTACAGATTTAAGGATTTAGAAATAGATGGATGGATTTAGCAATGAATGGGTGGATGGAGAAATGAGTGGTTTGGTAGTTGGATGGATAGATAGATGGGTAAATGGATGGGTGGATTTATATGGATGGATGGATGGAGAAATGAATGGAGGATGGTTGGGTGGATAGATAGATGGGTAAATGGATGGGTGGATTTATATGGATGGATGGATGGATGGATGGATGGAGGAATAGATGGAGGTACGGATGGATGGATTTTAAATGGATGGGTGGATGGAGAAATGAATGGAGGATGGTTGGTTGGATAGATAGATGTGTAAATGGATGGATGGATTTATATGGATGGATGGATGGTGGATGGATGGATGGATGGATGGATTAATAAATGGATGGCTGTATGGAGAAATGAATAGAGGATGGTTGGTTGGATGGATAGATAGATGGGTAAATGGATGGGTGGATTTATATGGATGGATGGATGGATGGATGGATGGATGGATGGAGGAATGGATGGAGGTACAGATGGATGGATTTATAAATGGATGGATTTATAAATGGATGGGTGGATGGAGAAATGAATGGAGGATGGTTGGTTGGATAGGTAGATGGGTAAATGGATGGATGGATGGATGGATGGATGGARGGARTTATAAATGGATGGGTGGATGGAGAAATGAATGGAGGATGGTTGGATGGATAGATAGATGGGTAAATGGATGGATGGATGGAGGTACAGATGGATGGATTTATAAATGGATGGGTGGATGYAGAAATGAATGGAGGATGGTTGGTTGGATGGATAGKTAGATGGATAAATGGATGGGTGGTTTTATATGGATGGATGGATGGATGGATGGATGGATGGATGGATGGATGGAGGAATGGATGGAGGAATGGATGGAGGAATGGATGGAGGTAAGATGGATGGATTTATAAATGGATGGTTGGATGGATAGATAGATGGGTAAATGGATGGGTTGATTTATATGGATGGATGGATGGATGGATGGATGGAGGTACAGATGTATGGATTTAGAATTAGAGGGATGGATTTAGCAATGAATAGGTGGAGTAATGAATGGAGGGTGGTTGGATGGATAGGTGGGTAAATGGATGGAGGAGGAAATGAAGGGATGGGTGGATTTATAAACTGATGGATTGTTGGATGAAATATAAATGGAGGGAGGGACAGATAAATGGAACCCATTGGTTCTTTTCCTTTCTAACTAGGTCAGCTATGGTGTCACCTCCAGGGACTCTGAACAGAACGCTGTCTTCCCCTTTTTCTACCAAATGGTCCCCAAAGAAGAGATCCTCTATCCAGGGATTGTCCACCTCCTCCAGCATTTTGGCTGGACCTGGATTGGTCTCTTTGCTCCAGACAACGACAACGGGGAAAGGTTCATGCGTACCCTGAAGCCTCTGCTCAGCTCTCATGGCATCTGTGTGGCCATCTCACAGCCCCTCCCGGAAATGACTGTGCCCAAAGTGACGGTCACCTCCGTCTTCCTTTCCCTATGGAGACAAGTTAAAGTATTTGTCCTCTATGGGGAGAACCGATCCATCCTTGGTGGAATATTCCTTGTGAAAAGGTTACTTGAACACATGCTGGACTCCACTCTGGGGAAAGTCTGGATCACCACTGCATTGTGGGATCTCAGCTCAGTCTTTTCCATGGGTGCCTCCAAATCACAGCAGAGCCATTGGTTCTTTTCCTTTGCAATCCAGATGAAGAAGAGGCCAAAATATGAAGAGGTGGATAGAAAACACTTCTTTTCTTACCAGGTGGAGCCTTTTTCCTGCACTTATTCAAAACACGAGCGCTCTGTGAAGGGACGAAGGAGGTGCAAACAGAAAGGGGAGATGCCTCTGAATGTGCTTGAGCACAGCCTGACCCCGGACAGCTACAGTGTTTACCACAGTGTCCGGGCTGTAGCTTCTGCTGTCCATGCAGCAATGTCATCCACATCCAAGCGCATGAGAAGACGCTTCAGAACAGACTATTTGGGCTTTCCAGAACTGCATCCATGGCAGGTATCCCCTTTCTCTAGTCCATCACGTCTTTTCCCAGAACTCAGAAATATATACCGAATCTTAGAATATTGACCAGTAGAGAAGGGCAAAAAATGATCAAAAGTTTGGAAGCCAGGCCATATGAGGAGTAGCTGAGGGAGTTGGGAATGTTTCGGAGATTCGGGGTGTGGTGTCATCTGTACGCAGATGACGCCCAACTCTGTCAATCCTTCTCACCTGCTACTAAGGAGGCTGTTCAGGTCCTGAACCAGTGCTTGGCAGCTGTGATGATTTGGATGAGGGTTAGCAAATTGAAATTGAATCCAGACAAGGCAGAGGTACCCCTGGTCAGCCGTAAGGCCAAACAGGACATAGGGTTACAGCCTGTGTTGGGTGGGGTCACACTCCCCCTGAAGACGGAGGTTCACAGCTTGGGAGTGATCCTGGATTCATTGCTGAGCCTGAAACCCCAGGTCTCGGTGGTGACCAGGGGAGCATTTGCACAAATAAAACTTGTATGCCAGCTGCGCCCGTACCTTGGGAAGTCTGACTTGACCACGGTAGTCCATGCTCTGGTTACATCCCATATAGACTACTGCAATGCACTCTATGTGGGGCTGCCTCTGAAGACTGTCCGGAAGATTCAAATGGCCCAACGAACGGCAGCCAGATTGCTAACGGGAGAGGCACTCAGGGAGCATACAACTCCTCTGTTGCACCAGCTCCACTGGCTGCCAGTTTGCTACTGGGCACAATTCAAAGTGCTGGCTTTAGCCTATAAAAGCCCTAAACAGTTCTGGCCCAACTTACCTGTCCGAACGCATCTCCCCTTACGAACCTTCCAGGACCTTAAGATCATCTGGGGAGGCCCTGCTCTCAATCCCGCCCTCGTCACAAGCATGACGAGAGACAGGGCCTTCTAAGTGGTGACCCCTCGGCTATGGAACACCCTCGCTAGGGATATTAGATTACCCCCCACTCCCTTTTCACATTCTGGAGGAAAGTCAAGACTTGGCTTTTTGAGCAAGCATTTGCAAGTACAGTATGACCAACATAGGAAATGGAACAATTAGATGATGTGATTAGCCGATGTTTTCAGTAAGGAGACGCTAATGATATATGTTGTTTTAATTTTGCTATGGTTTGATAACATTTTAATGTTTTAATTGTATTTTATGGTCTTGGTACCAACTGTGAACCACCCGGGCCCGCCTGCGGGCTGAGAGGGACGGTATATAAATATAGTAGATAGATAGATAGATAGATAGATAGATAGATAGATAGATAGAGAGGATAAAAGAAGGCTGAGAGACAGGGATATGATAGCCATATTTACATTTTTAAGGGCTGTCCTATTGAGAAGCATGTTCTCTGCTGCTCTAGACATGGAGTAATGGGTTCGATTTGAAGGGAAATAGATAACACCTTAACGTTTGGAAGGATTTCTTGATGGTAAGAAGAGCTATTTAACAGTGAATGTGCCGCCTTGGAGTCTGGTGGAGACTCTTTCTCTGGAGGTTTTTAAGGAGTTACTGAATGGCTGTGCAAAAATGGTGCTATTGACAAATAGTCAACTTATAAAGGGATTATACCAAGTTGTTTATATTGGGAAAAAGGAAAAATAGAAGGATGTTTGGCTGAGAGGAGACATGATAGCCATGTATAAATATGTGAGAGGAAGTCACAGGGAGGAGGGAGCAGCTTTTTTTTCTGCTTCCCTGGAGACTAGGACGCAATGGAACAATGGCTTCAAACTACAAGAGAGGAGATTCCATCTGAACATGAGGAAGAACTTCCTGACTGTGTGTGAGAGTTGTTCAGCAGTGGAATTCTCTGCCTCAGTGTATGGGTGGAGGCTCCTTCTCTGGAAGCTTTGAAACAGAGGCTAGACGGTCATCTGTCGAGGGTGCTTTGAATATGGGCTAGGTAAAACTAGTCAAAGGTGGGCTAGGCAAAACTATGGTTAGGTGGATCTGTAATTGGTTAAGCGAACAAACCCAGAGGGTGATTCTCCCCAAGGCTTCCTCTTCATCCTGGAAAGAAGTGATGAGTGGAGAGCCATCAGCAGGGTTGCGTCCTGGGCCCGGTACTGTTCAGGATCTTCATTTATGACTTAGATGAAGGGTTAGAAGGCAGGATCATCAAGTTTGCAGACGGGACCAAATTGGGAGGGAGAGCCAAGACTCCAGAGGACAGGAGCAGGATTCAAAACAATCTTGAGAGATTAGAAAGATGATGGGCCAAAACTAACAAAATGAAGTTCAACAGGGACAAATGCAAGATACTCCACTTAAGGAGAAAAAAGGAAATGCAAAGATACAGAATGGGGGACAATGCCTGGCTCGAGAGCAGTACGTGTGAAAAAGATCTTGGCGTCCTCGTGGACAAGTTTGATTTTCCATTATGTTATTTTGCACTGCTTATGTGCTGGCACGGTAGTGCCAGGAGATTTGAATTTCCTTTTTTTTTTTTTTTTTTTTTTTGCACTGCTAGTTGGTATGAATTTATTTAAGCCACACATTTTGTAGTCAGGTAGCTTCCCCAGGTTGCAGATAGGGCCAGTAACCTGGCAATCATCGTTAACAGTATTTAAGACTCACCCCTTTCCCCAGGGTTTTGGAGGGAAAGGAGACTTTTGTTTAGTCTCATTGTTTGGAGCCTAACAGCAGGATGTGTGGGTTTTCTCTATCCAACCTGCACAAAGGCTTCATTACTCACAGCTTTGCTGTGGAGTAAAGGAACAGTTCCACAGCTTTTGCTGGGCAACAGGACAGTTTGCTGGGCAACAGGACAGTTCCTACAGCCTTCGTGGAGAAAACTAAAGGACTTCTTTCAGCTTGGCAGATCTACAGAAACCTTGCCTGGTAAGGGACCACTCGGGCTATCCATAAAGCAGATTGGAGCCAGGAGTAGGGGCCTCACGCCAGTAAGGTAAAGAAAGATTGCCCAGGGAGGGGTCAAAGGATTTCCCTAAGGAAGAAAGGAACAGTTTACCACCAGTTGCCTGCCCCTTGTTGGCAGATTGAGGAAGCTACTGGTTTCCCAAGGTTATAAAGCATTTAATTCATTTGTTTGAAGATTTAAGCCCAAATAAAGAACTTTGTTGAACTTATTTTGAGCCTCAATAGAACTTTGTGTTGGGAAATCTAAAGGGCCCTTCAGCTGAGGCACCCTGGTGTCCCATTGGGCATACAGAAGGCACGTCCTGTAAACAGACATTATTTCAGGCCCAGCGTGTGACAGCACAGCTTATTTTACCTGAATCCTTTTAGTTATTTTATTGTGATGTTATTTTTGTTGTTTATATTTTATGTTGCTGTAATGTATCACTGGGCTTGGCCCTTTGGGGAGATGGTAGTGGGGTATAAATAAAGATTATTATTATTATTATTATTATTATTATTATTATTATTATTAGTGTGGATATCTTGAATAGCTGTCAAAATGAAATATGTATGCTCTGTATTCTCAACTACATACCGGAGCACTGAACCTGCCGTTCTTGTGTCAGCTGAAATCACACAAGACCCCTTCTATAAATCATAATAAAACTTTATTTATATTCCACCCTATCTCCCCAAGGGGAAGTCAGGGTGGATTCCAACATACACAATGGCAAGCATTTAATGCCTCCATAAACAGACAAATATCATAGAATCATAGAATCAAAGAGTTGGAAGAGACCTCATGGGCCATCCAGTCCAACCCCATTCTGCCAAGAAGCAGGAATATTGCATTCAAATCACCCCTGACAGATGGCCATCCAGCCTCTGTTTCAAAGCTTCCAAAGAAAGAGCCTCCACCACACTCCGGGGCAGAGAGTTCCACTGCTGAACGGCTCTCACAGTCAGGAAGTTCTTCCTCATGTTCAGATGGAATCTCCTCTCTTGTAGTTTGAAGCCATTGTTCCATTGCATCCTAGTCTCCAGGGAAGCAGAAAACAACCTTGCTCCCTCCTCCTCCCTGTGGCTTCCTCTCACATATTTATACATGGCTATCATATCCCCTCACAGCCTTCTCTTCTTCAGGCTAAACATGCCCAGTTCCTTAAGCCACTCCTCATAGGGCTTGTTCTCCAGACCCTTTATCATTTTAGTAGCTCTCCTCTGGACACTTTCCAGCTTCTCAATATCTCTCTTGAATTGTGGTGCCCAGAATTGGACACAATATTCCAGGTGTGGTCTAACCAAAGCAGAATGGAGGGGTAGCATGATTTCCCTAGATCTAGACACTATGCTCCTTTTGATGCAGGCCAAAATCCCATTGGCTTTTTTTTGCCGCCACATCACATTGTTGGCTCATGTTTAACTTGTTGTCCGCGAGGACTCCAAGATCTTTTTCACACGTACTGCTCTCAAGCCAGGCATCATCCCCCATTCTGTATCTTTGCATTTCGTTTTTCCTGCCAAAGTGGAGTATCTTGCATTTGTCCCTGTTGAACTTCATTTTGTTAGTTTTGGCCATTCATCTCTCTAATCTGTCAAGATCGTTTTGAATCCTGCTCCTGTCCTCTGGAGTATTGGCTATCCCTCTCAATTTGGTATCGTCCGCAAACTTGATGATCATGCCTTCTAGCCCTTCATCTAAGTTATTAATAACATAATCAACATAATCCCAGAGGATTGAAGACATAATCAGGATTGAAGATACAAGACAAGCATTCAAAACCAATGGCCAACCATCTGGAAGGTCTTCCTAATGTTTTCCCAATGTCTAGGTGGAATCTCTTTTTCTGATGTTTGAACTCATGGCTCCGTTGTGTCGTGCTGCTGCAAAGAAGTTGCCAGGAATTTCTGGTAGACTGTTTGTTCCAATGAAACCCTTGTTGTCCCCAAAAGGACTTTATTGTTAACCGACAGCAGAAGTCCACCAGTGCTTTGACTGGCTGCTTTTCCTTGTCCTTCCAGCTGGATCCATTCCTGAGGAACTTCAGTGTTTACAACTCTTCCATGGATGGGGTGCATGTGGATGAGAACAGAGAACTGTCAGCCAACTTTGACATTCAGGGCACAATAGTGTGGCCCAACAACAGCATTGAGAAAATGAAATTTGGGAGTGTAGAGAGGCAGGAATCGCTGGACCAAAGACTCACCATTGAGGAGAGCGCCATCATGTGGCTTGCAGGGGCTAACATGGTGAGGAGCTCCATGTACTTCATGTTATATACTCTTTCGTCACCCTTTTTGGGATATATCTGTGCCCTAAATTGAATCAGTCAAGTCTGTGATAAGGATGGGTCACTGAATAGGCGCTGGAGGTCCATATCCTCTTTAAGCTTCCCAGCTACAGGCTGCATCCCATCCAAAAATATCTGTAGACCTTCTCAAAATTGTGACAGGACATGCACGAGTTAACCAGAACACTTCCCAGAAACCTCATGTGTTGGACTACAATTCTTACTTGCTTGCTTAGACAATCCCTTGAGCCCGAGGATGATGGTTCTCCAAGTGTAGTGTCTTGCTGGTGGGTCCGTAGGTAGCTGTGGAGCCCTATTCTTGATCCGCATGTTCTCCTACAGTGAGGAGAACATGTGAGGATTTCAGGTTGAAGGTGGTCCTGGTCAGGGTTGGCTTCATGCGCCTTCCTCTTGGCACGTTTCTATTTCACCCTCCATTCGTGCCTCTTCAAATTTTGCAGCACTGCTGGTCACAACTGACCTCCAGTTAGAGCACTCAAGGGCCAGGGCTTCCCAGTTCTCCCTCGGTGTCTATGCCTGTTGGGACTCAGCCTGTGATTGAACCTGAGCCTGTGCTTGAACCTGTAATTGTGTTTCTGTGTATGATGTGGGTAATGAGGAGGGAAATCAGTCTCCTGTTGCTTCTGATGTGGGGGATGCTGGGGCTGACTCTGAGGTGCAAGATGGAGACACTTTAGTCAATGAGTTTCATGCAGACACTGACAGAGAGGCTTTGGTGCAAAGGGCAGATTCTCATGAGAATGTTTCTCTTAGGCCTTGGGAGAAAGGTTTACTCCCTCCGCCTGTGAGCTTTTCAGATTCTAGTATGGAAAACAGTCTGACACCTGGTAAAGTTCATGAGGAGTCAGATAAGCAGAGTCGGCGGATGGAGATTAGCCAGAATCGACAAGAGGCCCCATGTTTACGTAGATCCGAAAGAATTCGTCAGTTAAGGTCAAAGACTGGAGGAAAATGAAACCAGTTTTTGGGATTTAAGGTTTGCCTTTAGGAAATCTTGTAAGATCAGGCATCATTTGGAAACCAAGTACAAGCCTCGTGGAATTCCTGTTCTTATCTTCATGGATTTTTCTAGCTTTTCAAGGTGACTAGCAGTGTCTGGTCTGTTTTTGCTTCGTGTTTGATTCCTTTCTGGATAATCATTGCCTCGGATTGTATTTTCATGCTTTTTGGACATTGCTTTTGATTGCTACGTTTGGACACTGTTTTATCTTGCTGCCTTTGAATGCCTTATTGCGTTTTGGAATCGTTTCTATCTTTACAAGCATTTATTTCTACTGGCTTTTATGCTAAGCTTTAATAAAAAGGATTGTTCCTTCACTCAATGTGTAGTGTATTTATAGACAGAGGGGGCTTTTCCTGTTCTGGAGTGCAACAATGCCACAGCGTTTCAGGTTGGCTTTAAGCCCATCTTTCAATCTCTTTTCCTGTCCACCAACATTATGTTTCCCATTCTTGAGCTGGGTGTAGAGCAACTGCTTTGGGTGATGGTGATCGGGCATTTGGACAACGTGGCTAGTCCACTGGAGTTGATGGCATAGGAGCATCACTTCAGTGCTGGTGGTCGTTGCTTCTTCCAGCACGCTAACATTTATCTGCCTGTTTTCCCAAGAGATTTGCAGGATTTTTTGGAGGCAACGTTGATTTAATCATTCCAGGATTTGAGTGTGATGCCTCTAGACAGTCCACGTCTTGCAGGCGTATAGCAGAGTTGGGAGGACAATAGCTTTATAAACAACCCCCTTGGTCTCCCTATGGATGTTCCGATCCTCAAACACTCTCTGCTTCATTCAGAAAAATGCTGCACTTGCAGAGCTCAGGTGGTGTTGTATTTCATTGTCTATGTTGATTTTTATGGAGAGGTGGATACCAAGAAAGTGGAAATGGTCAACATTTTCTAATGTTACACCATTAAGCTGTATTTCTGGCATTGCAGAGGGATTTGTTGATGTTCTGGTACAGCTGTACCAGGAGCTCCAACTTTATTTGCTTTGCATTGAATGTTTGGTTGCAGTCCTGTGTTTCAGGGACTCTGCAGATGGGTGGCTTCTTTTGGTTGCAGTCATAGGGCAAGTCACCTGTCCATCATTGTTAAGTTTGGTCCCGCCCCTTGCTCAGGGCAATTGGGAAGGGAAGGGAGCCATTTTTAGTTAGTCTCAGCAAGGTTAGCTTATGTGTAGGATGTGTGCAAGTTTCCCCTGCACAAAAGCTTCAACCTTTAAAGAATTCCGGGGGAGAACAGTTTCAAGAGACTCCTAAGAATTTCCAGGAAAAACAGCCCTAAAGACCAAAGAACTCCAGCTGGAGAACATCTAATACCTTACTGGTAGGTCCACTCAGCGTTCGAGACACAGTTCGACCCGGTAGTGGAGCATACGTCAGTAAGGGTTAGATTACAGTCAGCCTGGAAGAAGTTAAAAAGGGGATTTTCCTTTAAGGTTATTGAAGACAGTTGCCTGTCCTTCGTGGGCAAGATTAGGAATTCACCAGTTGCCTAAAAGCCTGGAATCATTTGCCTAATTTTACTGAAGATTAGCGAAGTTTCTGTTTGATTGTTCATTAATAAAGGACTTTGTTGTACTTCACAAGCCATCTAAAGACTATTTGTGGTGAAATCCTCTGAGAACTTCTCTTTGGCCCCCTGGCTTCCCGCTGGGCAAAGGTTGCACGTCCTGTTTTAAAGACAATTATTTACAGGCCCAGCGCGCGACAGAACTGTTGGTGACTGCTGGAAGAGCACTTTGGTTTTTACAACTCCCAGAATCCTTGGTAATGGACCATTCAGAGGCTGGAGAGCCTGGAAAATGTGGCCCTGCAACATCTAAGGGCTCATGACACTGTTAGATTTTTGTCTTAGGGATGCTACAGTGGAGACAGCCCTTCCTCTGACCTGAAGTCCTTTCCAAGCTACAGAGCATCACAATAGATGTCATCTGTGGGGGGAAACGAGCTCAGAAGAGCAGGAGTGTTTGGGTCCACCCTTAGGTCCCGCTTCTTCCCTGTTGTGTTCCTCACACATTTCCCTTTCGCTCTTCCAGAGCCTCCCTGGTTCGAGATGTGTGGAGAGCTGCCGCCCGGGGTTTGTCAAGGCAATTCGTGAAGGGGAGCTTATCTGCTGCTATGACTGCCCTCCCTGCCCAGAAGGGACCATCTCTACTCAAGAAGGTCGGTGGAATCCTAGCGTAAGGAGGACCCCAAGGGCCATTCAGTTCAACCCCCTTCTGCCAGTGAATAATCAAAGTCCGCCCTGGGCTCGGTCCTGTTCAACATCTTTATTAATGACTTAGATGAAGGGTTAGAAGGCAGGATCATCAAGTTTGCAGGCGACACCAAATTGGGAGTCTATAGCCAATACTCCAGAGGACAGGAGCAGGATTCAAAACGATCTTGACAGATTAGAGAGATGGGCCAAAACTAACAAAATGAAGTTCAACAGTGACAAATGCAAGATACTCCACTTTGGCAGGAAAAACGAAATGCAAAGATACAGAATGTGGGATGCCTGGCTCGAGAGCAGTACGTGTGAAAAAGATCTTGGAGTCCTCGTGGACAACAAGTTAAACATGAGCCAACAATGTGATGTGGCGGCAAAAAAAGCCAATGGGATTTTGGCCTGCATCAATAGGAGCCTAGCGTCTAGATCTAGGGAAGTAATGCTACCCCTCTATTCTGCTTTGGTTAGACCACCTGGAATATTGTGTCCAATTCTGGGCACCACAATTCAAGAGAGATATTGACAAGCTGGAATGTGTCCAGAGGAGGGTGACTAAAATGATCAAGGGTCTGGAGAACAAGCCCTATGAGGAGCAGCTTAAGGAGCTGGGCATGTTTAGCCTGAAGAAGAGAAGGCTGAGAGGAGACATGATAGCCATGTATAAATATGTGAGAGGAAGCCACAGGGAGGAGGGAGCAAGCTTGTTTTCTGCTTCCCTGGAGACTAGGACGTGGAACAATGGCTTCAAACTACAAGAGAGGAGATTCCATCTGAACTTGAGGAAGAACTTCCTGACTGTGAGAGCCGTTCAGCAGTGGAACTCTCTGCCCCGGAGTGTGGTGGAGGCTCCTTCTTTGGAAGCTTTTAAGCAGAGGCTGGATGGCCATCTGTCAGGGGTGATTTGAATGCAATATTCTTGCTTCTTGGCAGGGGGTTGGACTGGATGGCCCATGAGGTCTCTTCCAACTCTTGATTCTATGATTCTATGATTTATGATTCCTCCCAACACATAGTCACCTAGTTTCTGTTCACAAACCATTTCCCCTTCGGAGGGTCGCCAGAAGTCAACTTTATGGCAATTAACAAACACAAAAATGGGTGCAACTGAATGGTTGCCCTTCCAAGTCCAGGACCTTTTCTGATTTCTCAATGGGAGTGTGAGGGAAGTTCCTTCCTTGGGGACTTCCAAAAAGAGGCTAGATGGCCATCTGCTGGGGATGCTTTATGTTTTTTCTGCATGGCAGGGGGTTGAACTAGCTCACTCATGTGGTCTCTGCCAACTCTATTCCTCTATGATTCTATGATGTATGACACTTTTTCTTCTTCATATATGCAGATGCAGCTTCATGCACCGAATGCCCACCAGATCGGCATCCAAACAAGGACCAAAATCGATGCGTCCCCAAGGACATCAGCTTCCTGTCCTACGAGGAATCTCTGGGGAACATCCTGGTGTCCATTGCCCTCCTCTTGTCCATAACCACGTGCATTGTTTTTGGGGTCTTCATTAAAAACCAAGAAACTCCCATCGTCAAAGCCAACAACCGGGACCTCTCCTACGTTCTCCTGGTCTCTCTCTTGCTTTCCTTCTTGTCCTCTTTCCTCTTCATTGGCCAGCCAAGTGAAGCAACCTGCCTTCTTCAACAAGTAGCCTTCAATGTCATCTTCTCAGTAGCTGTCTCTACCCTTTTGGCCAAAACCATCACTGTGGTGCTGGCCTTCCTGGCCACAAGGCCTGGGAACAGGGTGAGGAGGTGGCTGGGGAAGACCTTGGCCTACATCATTGTCCTTTCCTGTTCCTCCATCCAGGTTCTCATCTGCTCCTTCTGGCTGGGCCTTTCCCCTCCATTCCTGGACTCCGACATGCACTCCCAGCCTGAGGAGATCATCTTGAAGTGTAACCAAGGGTCAACGGCCATGTTCTGTGCTGCTCTGGGCTACCTGGGCTTCCTGGCCGGAGTCTGCTTCATGGTGGCCTTCCTGGCCCGGAAGCTGCCAGGGTCCTTCAACGAGGCCCAGCTGATCACCTTCAGCATGCTGGTCTTCTGCAGTGTCTGGGTCTCCTTTGTGCCCACCTACCTGAGCACCAAGGGGAAGTACATGGTGGCCGTGCAGGTCTTCTCCATCCTGGCCTCAGGTGCTGGGCTCCTTGTAGGTATCTTCCTCCCCAAGAGCTACATCATTCTCCTCAGACCAGACCTGAACACAAAGGAGCACCTGAAGAACTAAAACATGGCCGCTGGTTCATTAAATAGTCAACTTTGTATTGAGAATTCCTACACACAACAGTAATTTTTTTAAAATGTAGATGTTAATATTGTGTTGATATTGAGGCTGTGGGGATATTTGGTTAGGAAGGGATGTCTGAGAGGGACGTCTGAAAGGAGATTCCACCTGAACATGAGGAAGAACTTCCTGATTGTGAGAGACGTTTAGTAGTGGAACTCTCTGCCCTGGAGTGTGGTGGAGGCTCCTTCTTTGGAAGCTTTTAAACAGAGGTTGGATGGCCATCTGTCGGGGGTGCTTTGAATGCAATATTCCTGCTTCTTGGCAGAATGGGGTTGGACTGGATGGCCCACGAGGTCTCTTCCAACTCTTTGATTCTATGAGGAGCGAGATGCCATTCAGGAGCACGGAATATCAAAGGAAGTCAAGCTCTTTGAAGCTGGAACAGACTGCAGAAAGTATAATAAAGCCCAGCAGAGAAAATTGTGAACTAAATATAGTGTTCCCTCACTTATCACGGGTGTTCCGTTTCAGGACCACCCGCGATAAGTGAATATCCGCAAAGTAGGGATGCTATATTAATTGTAATATTTATACTTTACTAGCTTGGGGACCCGGCGCTGCCCGGGTTATTTGAGAAAGGAATTGTGTATCAAGGTTGGTCTTTATCAGTTATTTATATGGCTTGCAGTGGTCTCAGGAAGTTAGTGAAGGTACTGCGAGTCCCTTCATCTGTGGTCCATCTTCCTCCAAACTGCACCAGGATGGAGAGTGGGTCATGGGGGCTCTGTGTGCCAAGTTTGGTCTTGTTCAGTCATTGGATGAGGGTTGCAGCAGTCTCGGAAAGCGAGTGGAGATATTTCAAGTCCCATCATCCATGGTCTGGCCTCCTCCAAACCGCAGTAGGATGTAGAGTGGGTCATGGGGGCTCGGTGTAGCAAGTTTGGTCTTTATCAGTCTTTGTTGGGGGGCACAGTGGTCCCTGCGAACCAAACCGTCTGAAAGTACTACAAATCCCATAATCCGTGGTCCACCTCCCCCAAACCGCACCAAGATGTAAAGGGTTTCATGGGGGTTATGTGTGCCAAGTTTGGTCCAGGTACGTCACCGTGTTGGTCAGTGGCTTGTGAAAGTGGCAGCCAATCAGAAAGCTGCCACATACACTTCCACTTCTGCCCTTCCACCCTCCGCATACATACATACAAACAAATATTCACTTTTATTATATATATATATATATATATATATATATATATCTAAGCATATGTATAAGAAGCGTGCATGCACCGTCTAGCCCTCAAGCTTCCTTACCTGCCTCTGAAGCCATGAAGGCATCAGCAAGCCAGGGATTCAGGGTGAAGCACAACATACAAACAGCAAACAATCAATGAATTCATTATATGCATACACAAACAATAAAAACATAAATAGGAGTCTAAACCCCTCTATTCCGCTTTGGGTTAGACCACATCTGGAATACTGTGTCCAATTCTGGGCACTGCAATTGAAGGGAGATGTTGACTCTAAGCTGGAATGTGTCCAGAGGAGGGCGACTAAAATGATCAAGGGTCTGGAGAACAAGCCCTATGAGGAGCGGCTTAAAGAGCTGGCCATGTTTAGCCTGCAGAGGAGAAGACTGAGAGGAGACAGGATGAGAGCCATGGATAAATATGTGAGGGGAAGTCATAGGGAGGAGGGAACAGGCTTGTTTTCTGGAAGGAAAAAGGAAGAGGGGCTGACCAAGGGCAAGGTGGGTAGATTGCATCCTTTAAGTGACTGGCTTGACCTTGAAGGAGCTGGGGGTGGTGATGGCTGACAGGGAGCTCTAGCGTGGGCTGGTCACGAAGAGTCGGAAGTGACTGAACAAATAAACAACAGAAAAGCAAAGGGAAAGGGAGAAGGAAAAACATCAAAAGGGGATAGCAGAAGTTGTGAAGAAACGAGGTCACCAACTAAAGATGAAGAGAAAGAAGAAGAAAGAAGAGGAAAGGAAGAAGGGGAATGAATAGGAGCTGTCGGAGAAGTAGACTAGGAAAAAAAGATAATCCACAGTCTTAATCAGAGGAAGAAGAAAAGAAAATATTGAGCACAGGGAGGGAGAGGTCGAAGAACCACGGCTCCATTCTCCACAAGAGCCCTTGGGGCAGGGTATGGGGCAGGAGGCCTTGAAGCCTCTTTTCACCACAAACCACACACGGTCCAGGTAATCCAGTAAAGTAAAGTTTATTAAAAGCAGAGTATATAAAAAAGCAAGCACATTAAAAAAGAATTAAAGTTCAAAGGGGTATTTCCATGAAAAGCAAGAGTTCAAAAATCAATTCAAAGAAAGTCCAAAACAGCACTGCTCCAATATTCCCAAATGCAACGTAACATGAATCCCAGGCCAGCAAACTAGGTCACACATGAACTAGTAGGTCCTTAGATGGACATGCAGATGATCACTCTGACTCTTTCCACTTTCCATGCATTTATGTGGCTTCTCCCCTATGTGGGTCCTTTGATGGGAACGCAGTCTGTCACTCCGACTGAAGCTTACTCCACATTCCATGCATTTATATGGCTTCTCCCCTGTGTGGGTCCTTAGATGGGAATGTAGTTTGTCACTCCGACTGAAGCCTTTTCCACATTCCATGCATTTATGTGGCTTCTCCCCTGTGTGGGACCTTTGATGGGAACGCAGATTGTCACTCCTACTGAAGCTTTCTCCACATTCTATGCATTTATGTGGCTTCTCCTCTGTGTGGATCGTTTGATGGGAACGCAGAGTGCTGACCTGACTGAAGCTCTTTCCACATTCCATGCATTGATATGGCTTCTCTCCTGTATGGATTCTTTGATGGGTACGCAGGTTTCCACCCTGAGAGAAGCTCTTTCCACATTCCATGCATTTATGTGGTTTTTCTCCCATGTGGGTCCTTTTATGGTGACGCATTTCTGAACTCCAAATGAAGCTCTTTCCACATTTCATGCATTGATATGGCTTCTCTCCTGTATGGATTCTTTTATGGGAACGCAGGGTTCCACGGTGGGAGAAGCTCTTTCCACATTCCATGCATTTGTGTGGCTTCTCCCCTGTGTGGGTCCTTAGATGGCCACGTAGATAAACACTCTGACTGAAACTCCTTCCACATTCTATGCATTTATATGGCTTCTCCCCTGTGTGGGTCCTTAGATGGGCACGCAACCTTTTGCCCTCTCTGAAGCTCTTTCCACACTCCATGCATTGATATGGTTTCTCTCCTGTATGGATTCTTTGATGGGAACGCAGTTCTCCACTTTGTGTGAAGCTCTTTCCACATTCTATGCATTTATAAGGTTTCTCTCCCGTGTGGGTCCTTTGATGGCGAAGCATTTGTGAATTCAAACTGAAGCTCTTTCCACATTCCATGCATTTGTGTGGCTTCTCCCCTGTGTGGGTCCTATGATGGCGAAGCAGGGTTCCACCACGAGAGAAGCTCTTTCCACATTCCATGCATTTATGTGGTTTCTCCCCTGTGTGGGTCCTATGATGGACACACAGGTATGCACTTTGTGTGAAGTGCTTCCCACATTCAATGCATTTGTGTGGCTTCTCCCCGGTATGGGTCCTATGATGGCGAAGCAGATGATCCCTCTGACTAAAGCTCCTCCCACATTCTATGCATTTATGTGGCTTCTCCCCTGTGTGGATCCTTTCATGGGAACGCAAGGAATCACTCCGACTGAAGTTCTTTCCACATTCCATGCATTCATATGGCTTCTTCCCTGTGTGACTTCTGACATGGGATATCAGATGTTCATTCCGTCTAAAGTTCTTTCCACATTCCATGCATTTATATGGCTTCTCTCCTGTGTGAGTCCTTTGATGGGAACGTAGATGGCCACTCTGACTGAAGCTCTTTCCACATTCCATGCATTTATATGGCTTCTCCCCTGTGTGGGTCCTTAGATGGACACGCAGATTTCCACTTCGTGTGAAGCTCTTCCCACACTCCTTGCATTTGTGTGGCTTCTCCCCTGTGTGAGTCCTTTGATGGCTCCATAGATGTTTACTCTGACTGAAGTTCTTTCCACATTCTATACCCTGATTTAGATTCTCCCCTGTCTGTTCTCTGGGATACGGATGTAGAGAATCTTCCATTCTTTTACATTTATAGATTCAAATATAACGTGAGAGTGTCACACACCCGACCCTCTTGAACACGACAAGATTTCTTCTTCTCAGTCTTGATTTTTCCATAGACTCTCTAGTTCCTTTCCGAAATCACGTTTTGTTTTTTTTTGTGGAATTTCACAGATGTATTATTTCTATATATTTTTCTCCAACTTATTTCCTTCTTTTTGTCATTCTGGACTGAGGACAACGCTAAAGAATAGCATTTGCAAGATTCTCTTCACAAGATTTGTCCAGAGGGTACCTGCTGGATGAAAAAAAGAGGCAAATCTCATCAGTAATTGAGCACACAAAATGTTATTGGACATCAGGACTGATTCCTGAGAGCAAAACAAGTGAAGAGACAAGTCCAGCTGGGAAGAGCTCATTGCCTGGTGAGAAGTCTTTTAACAGCTCTCCAATTAAAAAAAATCCCTGCTCAGATACAAAGGGAACAATGATGCAAGATTGTTTTTTATATTTTTGTGATGTATGTATGCTAATAGTCCAATCCAGTGGTTCTCAACCTGTGGGTCCCCAGATGTTTATGGTTTACAACTCCCAGAAATCGCAGCCAGTTTACCAGCTATTTGGATTTCTGGGAGTTGAAGGCCAAAACATCTGGGGACCCACAGTTTGAGAACCACTGGTCTAATCCAATATTTTTAAAATATGGCCAGCCCAGTAGGGAGCAAATCTTACAGAAGTCATTTCATTACTATTTTCCCTTGTAACTAACATTTATTTGTTTATTTCATGCCCTTGTTATATCACAAATGGATTACTGCAATGCACTCTACATGGGGCTGCCTTTAAAGACTGTTCAGAAACTCCAACTAGTCCAACGGGCACCAGCCAGATTACTAACTGGAGTGATATACAGGGAGCCTCTTGTTGTGTCACCTCCACTGGCTCCCGGTCCATTTCTGAGCACAATTCAAAGTGCTGGTCTTGGCCTATAAAGCACTGTATGGTTGTGGCCCAGTTTACTTGTCCGAACGTATCTCCCTCTACATCCTGCCTCGGACTTTAAGATCGTCCAGGGAGGCCCTGCTCTCGGTCCTGCCTTGTTCGCAAACACATGTGGTGGGGACGAGAGACTGGGCCTTCTCGGTGGTGGCCCCCCAGCCTCCAGAATACCCTCCCTAGCATGATTAGGTCAGCTCCATCCCTCTTCTCCTTCAGGAAGAAGCTTAAATCATGGTTCTGGGGCCAGGCATTCAGGGAGCAGGCTTGATAGCGATTGCAATGTTTACGTGAACTGACAATGGGCAGGCTCTGACAAAGTCTTGGGACCCTTAATTGGATTGGATTTGGCTACATGGTTTTCAATGTTTTTAAATGGATTTTAACTTAATGTTTTTATTTAATACTAGCTTGGGGACCCGGTGCTGCCCGGGTTATTTGAGATAGACATTGTGTATCAAGTTTGGTCTTTAACAGTTATTTATTAGGGCTGGGTAACAACGGAAAAATTTGTTTCTAAACTCGATTCGTTTTTAGGGTTTTTTTGCGTTTTGTTTTTTAAAAGAATTCCGAAATGTTTCTTTAAAAAAGTTCAAAATATACGAAATTTCGTAAATTTTGAATCGATTACGAAACAATTACGAATCAATTCGTTAATGGCGGACGCGATTGCGCAATATGCTAAAAAACCCTCCAAATGGGACAGGGGGAACTTCTGAAGCTTCCCTCTCCCTCTGTTGTTGACTGTTGGTGTGATAATTTATTTTTTATCACTGATAAAACAAACAGTAACCCTAAAACTTGCACCAGACATACGGAAATAATTTCGTAATAATTCCGAAACAATTTCGAAACAATTTCGAAACAATTACGAAATAAATTGAAAAAATCGTTTCGATTTTTAATTACTCCTGCATGGCTCAATATCGGATCGTAAGCTAATTTAAATACGAATTAATAATGAATTACGAAATTAACGAACAAAACCGCCCAGCCCTATATATGGCTTGCAGTGGTCTCAGGAAGTTAGTGAAGGTACTGCGAGTCCCATCATCCAAACAGCACCGGGATGTAGAGTGGGTCATGGGGGCTCTGTCTGCCAAGTTTGGTCTTGATCGGCCATTAGATGGGGGTTGCAGCAGTCTTGGGTAGGGAGTGGAGGTACCTGAAGTCCCATCATCCATGGTCTGTCATCCTCGAAAGTGCACCAGGATGTAGAATGGGTCATGAGGGCTCTGTGTGCCAAGTTTGGTCTTTATCCGTCTTTGTTGGGGCCACAGTAGTCTGTGGGAATCGAAGGGCTGGAAAGTACTACAAATCCCATCCATTGTCCAGCCTCCCCCAAACCTCGGGGGCACATAAAGGGGGTCATGGGGGTTATGTTTGCCAAGTTTGGCCTTGATCAGTCATTGGATGAGGATTGCAGCAGTCTCGGCAAGCGAGTGGAGGCACTTCAAGTCCCATCATCCATGGTCCACCCTCCAGTAGGACATAGAGTGGGTCATGGTGGCTCTGTGTGCCAAGTTTGGTCTTTATCAGTCTTTGTTGGGGACCACAGTGGTCTGTGGGAACTGAAGAGTTTGAAAGTACTACAAATCCCATCATCCATTGTCTGTCCACTCCCAAACCGCACCAGGACGTAAAATGCATCATGTGTGCTAAGTTTGGTCCAGGTCTGTCGCTCGTGCAAGTCTCTGTGGCCTGTGAAAGTGAGAGCCTATCAGAAAGCTGCCACATACACTTCCGCCCTTCCGCATACATACATACAAACAAACATTCACTTTTACTATAGATATAGATGAAATGTGATATATTGTGTATGTATTTTGTATGTGTTGGCATCAAATTGTTGTCGCTGTAAGCCGTCCTGAGTCCTCCTTCAAGGGTTGTGGTAGACGGGGTACACATGTTGGAAATAAATAAATAGATAGATATTTCAAGCATTTATACCCCGTGCTTCTCAACCCCACCCCCCCACCCCCGGGAGGGGGGGGTGCAGGGAAGCTTATAATAGTTTATTTGAATGAACAAACATAACTAAACAACAATTAAAACAATTATAAATATTCAAGATTTAAAATTCTACAGGTGAGGAGCCACCACTGAGAAGGTTCCCACCAGTTGCGCTTGCGAGGGTGGTGGGACCAAGAGCAGGGCCTCTCCTGATAATCTTGGGGTGCTTGATGGTTCATAGAGGGAGATACATAGAGGTAAACTGGACCGGAACAGTTTAGTGGTTCTCAACCTGGGGTCCCCAGATGTTTTTGGCCTACAACTCCCAGAAATCCCAGCCAGTTTACCAGCTGTTAGGATCTCTCGGAGTTGAAGGCCAAAAACATCTGGGGACCCCAGGTTGAGAACCACTGGTCTAGAGCTTTATAGGATAACCAGGTTGTGGCACAGCTGGTTGGGATTCAGCTGCTTTAAAAAAATCACTACTAACCGAAAGGTCATGAGTTCGAAGCCAGCCCTGATCGGAGTAAGCTCCCGACCATTTGTCCAGCTTGTTGTCGACCTTTGCAGCCTGAAAGACAGTTGCATTTGTCAAGTACAAAATTTTGGTACCGCTTTATGCGGGGAGGCTAACGTAACTCCCCTATTCTCCCCTATGAACCATCAAGATTATTAAGATCGTCTGGAGAGGCCCTGCTCTCGGTCCCACCAGCCTCGCAAGCGCGTCTGGTGGGGACGAGGGACAGGGCCTTCTCGGTGGTGGCCCCTCGACTCTGGAACTCTCTCCCACTGGAGATCAGAACCACCCCGTCTATCCTGACATTTAGGAAACAGCTGAAGACGTGGTTATGGAGACAGGCATTCGACGAGTGAGCCAACACCCTGAGATATGGATGGAGGATGATGAGCAACGATTTTAGTATGACAACTGACCATTGTAGTTATTGAATGTAATTGCCGTTTTAAGGTTTTATTGTAATATGAATTATGATGTTTTATTGACTGTATGTGATATTATGGTTGGAAACCGGTCTGAGTCTCTCAAGAGAGGTGAGAAGGTCGGTATATAAAACTTTTAAATAAATAAATAAACTAATTTACGATGCCATAAAAATCTCCAGCAGTGTGCAAAAGAATTTATTTTTTATTTATTTCGATCACTTATACCCCGCCCTTCTCACCCCCGAGGGGGGACTCAGGGCGGCTTACAAACAACGGCACAATTCGATGCCTGAATCAATAACAAACAATACCTAAAAACGATTTAGACAGTTAACAAATTAAAAACATTAGTAAACAATAAAATAACAAGACAGTCTCATGCTCAGAGTTCAGAGTTCCGTATATCCATTCCGATTCCATTCGTCCATGTTTGTCGTCAGATCTTCCTTTAGCTGCCAGCATGTCCAAAAGCTTGGTCCCATATCCAGGTCTTCAGTTTTTTCCTGAACGCCAAAAGGGAGGTCGCTGATCTAATCTCCCCGGGGACTGAGTTCCACAGGTGAGGGGCCACCACTGAGAAGGCCCTGCTCCTCGTCCCCGCCAACCTCACTTGTGATAGTGGCGGAGTCAAGAGCAGGGCCTCCCCAGACGATCTTAAATTTCGAGATGGGATGTAGAGGGAGATCCGTTCGGACAAATACACTGGGCCGGAACCGTATAGGGTTTTGTAGGTTAAAACCAGCACTTTGAATTGTGCTCGGAATTGGATCGGCAGCCAGTGGAGCTGATGTAACAGTGGAGTGGTATGCTCCGGTGAGCAATCTGGCTGCTTCTCGCTGGACTAGTTGAAGTTTCCAAGCAGTCTTCAAAGGCAACCCCACGTAGAGTGCGTTGCAGTAATCCAACCGGGATGTAACAAGAGCGTGGACCACCGTGGCCAGATCTCACTTCCCAAGGTACGGGCGCAGCTGGCGCACAAGTTTTAATTGTGCAAAAGCTCTCCCGGCCACCACCGAGACCTGGGGTTCCAGGCTCAGCGATGAGCCCAGGATCCCTCCCAAGCTGCAAACCTGCGTCTTCAGGGGGAGTGTAACCCCGTCTAACACAGGCTGTAACCCTATGCCCTGTTCGGCCTTACGACTGACCAGTAGGACCTCTGTCTTGTCTGGATTCAGTTTCAATTTGTTAGCTCTCATCCAGTCCGACACAGCGGCCAAGCACCGGTTCAAGGTCTGGACAGC